CACAGCTAAAGAGGGAACATAAGCAGGGGGAGTGGGAGAGGGAGAAGCAGGGAGCAGAGAGCAGAGAGCCTGATGCAGGGCTTGATCCCAGGACCCTGGGATCATGACCTGAGCCGAAGGCAGACGCTTAACGACTGAACCACCCAGGCGCCCCTGAACTTATAATTTAAAACCCTCCCCAGAAGAAAACACTAGGCCTAGGTGACTTCACTTGCTAGTTCTATTAAGCACTATTGAAAGAAATACTGAATCTATAGAAACTCTTTGAGAAAAGAGTTGGTGGAAATACTCAACTTTTTTACAAATGAGCTCAGCATTATCCTGATTGGACAACTACAAGAGAACTACAGACTGACATTCTTCATAAACATAGACATAAAAATCCTTAATAAAAATGTTACGAAATTGAATCAAAGAAGATCTAAAAAGGATAATCCAGCATGACTAAATAGGGTTTATCCCAGAAACGCAGTTGATTTGCCATTTGAAAAATAAACATAATTCATTATAAAAGAAAAATTATAAGATCTTCTCTGAGAGATGCAGAAAATACATTTAACAAAATTTAATTGCCCAGGGACTTCCTCAATTTAATAAAGGACATTACTAAAAAAACTACAGGTGCCATCATACTTAATGGTGAAAGACCAAAAGATTACAAACGAGGCAAGAATGTCCATTCTCACTGCTTCTATTCGACATTGTCCTGGAGGTTGTAGCCCGTGCAGTAAGGCAAGAGATGGAAATAAAAGGCATACGGTAAGAAAAGGAAGAACAAAAACTGTCTTTATTCACAAAGACTTGTTATTATAGATAGAATATTGTAAGGAATCTACAAAAAGCTAATTCAACTAATAAATGAAGCACCAAGGCGGTAGGCTACAAGGTCAATACACAAAAAAATGGATTGTATTTCTATGCAATAGTATCAGATTGGAAAATAAAATTTTAAAAACATTCCCTGTAATAGCATCAAAAAATATGAAAAAAAAATTTAGGGATAAATGACAAACATATGAGCAAGACCTATTCACAGAAAACCAAGAAGCATCACTAAGAGACATTAAAGACCTAAAACAATGCCAGTTATGCCATGATCATGAATTCAAATATATGATATTGTTAAGAAGTTAATTCTTCCCAAACTGATTTGTAGATCCAACGCAATTCCAATCAAAATCCCAGCAGACTTGTAGATAAAGTTGATTCTAAAATGTATATGGAAGGGCAAGAAAACAAAATTTAAAAAGAGAAAAAATGTATATGGAAGAGCAAAGAAACTAGGGTAGCTAAACAATTGCGGGGGGGGGGCAGATAAAATTGGAAAAACCACATTGATTTTTAAGACTACAATTTTTAAGCCACAGTAATTAAGATGGGGTGGAATTGGTATAAGAATAAACATATAGATCAGTGTAGCAGAATACAGAACTCAGACCTGCAAAGACATAGTAAACTGATTTTCAAGATGCCAAGGTATTTCAAAGGAAAGAACAGTTTTTTCAACAAATAGTGCCTGAATAATTGGACATCAAAAAAAATGAACCTCAGGGCACCTGGTTGGCTCTGTCAGTAGAGCATGCAACTCTTGATCTCGGGGTCATGAGTTTGAGCCCCATGTTGGGTGTAGAGATAATAAATAAAAAAAATTTTTAAATGAACCTTGACCTTTACCTTATACAACACATAAAAATTAACTTCAAATGGATCACAGACCTAATTATAAAAGCTAAAACTATAAAACTTCTAAAGAAAACATAGAAAATCTTTCTGATCTTGGAGTAAGCACAGATTTCTCAGCACACAAAAAACACAACCATAAATATATATATATACACATATGTAATATTTAAATATATTTACATTATATATAATATACGTGTTTTATATATATATATATGTAAATTGGACTTCATCAAAATTTTGAAATTCTGCTCTTCCAAAGTTATCATCAAGGAAACAAAAAGGCAAACCATAGATGGGGACAAAATATTCACAGTGCAAATATCTTGTAGAGTTTTTATCCAAAATATAGGAAAATTCTTACAGCTCAGTAATTAGATAACCCAAATAAAAAACCGGCAAAATATTTGATCAGGCACTTCCCAAAAGATACACAAATGTCACGTAAGCATATGAAAAAATGTTTAACATCATCAGGGAAAGTCATACTAAAACCACAACGAGATCTAGTACACATCCACCAAAGTGGTTAAAATGAAAAATAATGACAATATCAAGCATTGACAAGGATATGGAGCAACTGAAACCATACACTGCTTGTCAGAACGCAAAATAGCACAAATACTTTGGAAAAGTTTGTTTCGTCAAAAGTTACACATACACTTACCAGAAGACTCAACAATCCTACCTCCAGGTATTTCACCAAGAGAAATGAAAACACATCGCCACACACAGACCTGCAACGTATATACATAGCAGCTTTATTGATAAGAGACCAAAACTTAGATGTTCATCAACAACCTAGATGCCCATCAACATCCATGAATAGCTATAAATTGTGGTTTAACCACACAACAGAATAATACTCAGCAATAAAAATAAAACCTATTGCTGATATACACAATAGCACAGATGAAACTCGACATGGATGGATTTCAAAAGTATTATGCTGAGCAAAAAGTGTCAGACACAGAGTAAATACTGTATGATTTATTTGAAATTCTAGAAGAGTTGAATCTAATTTATAGTCACAGAAAGGAATCAGTGGTTGAACAATGCTGGTTCTTGGGGTGGAGGGGGACTCACGACAAATGGGCATTAGAGAACTTTTTGGGTGATGGAAATATTCTACATCTTGATGGTAATGGTGATTGTGTGGTTGTTCCCATTTGTTAAAACTCCTCAAACTGTAAACTTATAATATAGGGTGCATTTTATTATATGTAAATTACACTCTTAAGAAAGTTGACAGGGTGGACAGAGAATATGATTTATTTTACATTCTTTCCTTCTAATTAAGTGTAGAGTCAATACTGTGGGTCCTTCACAATTCCCAGTGAGATCTTTGGATATGCTGAACAAATATTTACATATTGTCTTGTAATTGACATTATCCATTTCCAATAGAATTTCCATGACTTAAAAAATATATGAAATTAGAAAAAAATTCCCAATTTGGTGTTTATCTCATGCTTACTTTGAAATATAATTTTCACTAATTTTTGTTGGAGTTTGAGGGAATCATGAAATAATATGCCCTGTGCCCTCCTGACTTCTGAGCCACTTGAGAGACCAAGCCAGGTAAATGGAGATATCAACTTTATTGCTGAAGGATGTAGGTTAAAGGGTGTAATTTAGGCTTGTACCAATAATGGCCACCTAATATCTAACCCAGAATTAGACCTGCTCACCAAGGAATGGGCAGTCCTATACAACCACAGGGCTCCCCTCGCAGAGGCAGAGAGCCTTTCACTGCAAAGTTTATGCTGTGCCTGGCAAGAGAATACAACATAGGCTCTCTGCAAGCATTATAAATCCCCAGAAAGGGGAGAAAGGTTTGCATGTCCAGTTCTTTATCCTGAACTCCCTTTCGCAGGGCAGTGGGGGTGATTAGAGAAGGGAGTGATCAGGATTCCTTGCTTAATGGATGAAAGGAAGCTATTCCTACCCTCTGCCTTCCCAACAAAATGTAGATCAACATTTCTCAACCTGTCTTCCACCGTGGCACACAGAGCAAGTTCACATACAACATGCATTAAGGCACAATTCATGGTACACCAGCCACAGGGCTACCCCTTCCCTTCCATTCAAGAAGGCATATTTCATTGCAAGTGACTAAAGTGACATACTTCATTTTAATTTACTTTGGTAATGAAATTTCTGTATTTTGTTATTGATTTAAAAAAAACCAAACCCTTACTTTCTCAATCCTAAAATGTCATCAATTACAAAGTACACACCATTGGCTTAATAAAAATCTCTCAGAAAAAAACACATTTAATATACCAATTGACATAAAGATAATCCTGGAACTATGGTTCCTGTGTCAACTCAAAACTCATGTAGATACATGTATGTCATGAAATCAAAGCTCCAGAATGGCTGGTCCAGAGTCAATTTAGAAAGGCTACTGTCTCACAGAGTCTGAAATAAAAACAAACAAACAAAGTTTTCTTACTGCTGGGAAAGGCAGTAAGACAAGCCTTTGACATCATTACATAAAGCATAATTTTCAAACTGAAGATGCTATAGTGGTCAGTTATAATCATGGCAACTCTAGCTTTCTCAGACAAAACTTTTTTATTTAGTCTTCCCTATAATTTTGTCATATAACATCAATTTAAAAGCTTTTTTTTTTTTTTTTAAAGATTTTATTTATTTATTTGACAGAGACAGAGACAGCGAGAGCAGGAACACAAGCAGGGGGAGTGGGAGAGGGAG